ACGTTCTAACAGCGCCTCTGGCCAGCGCGCACTGACACACGTTTGGAGCTGTTGCCAGGACGCTTCGGAAGACATTAGAGCCAAATAGTTGCCATTAATAGTTTGGCCAAAACCTTGCTATCTCATATTTCACGCCTATCTCATAATAGGCATCTTTACCTACACCTTTTTACCACCTTTTGCTGATTGGTTCGTGTTCGCAAATAATCGTATTATATACGAATTAATGAAATGCCGCGATAATTTAAATCAGCGTAAATTTTGAGCTTTTTTTAAGGAATTATCATAAAGTATTCAGCAAATCACCAAACATATAAATAACACCTTATTTTAGCAGATATGTTGATGACCTACTTATAATATGGAAAAATAACAGCAGGATTAAAGAATTTATGGTTAAGATTAATGATAATAATGATGGCCTTAGTTTAAGATTGGAACAGAAGAGTTCCTTAGATGTGCATTTTCTAGACATCAGTATCGAGTTCAGAAAAGCCCATTTATCCACTAGCGTTTTTATTAAACCATCCCATAGCCCATTGTATATTCCCTCCCAATCCAAGGATCCGTATAAATATAAAATTGCGGCTTTCCGAGCTTTAATAAGAAGGGCATTTTTGTGTTGTGACAGAATCCAAGACAGGATTAAGGAAATAGATAGAATAATAAACGTGGCCCAGATTCTGGTTTACCGAAAAAGCGCAATTCTAGGAATGGTTAAGAAGTATGAGATGAATATCAAGAAAAGGTAGTTTAAAAGTGTTCCCACTGGAGTCGTGAAATTTACCTATAATGAAAGTATGAATAGCGTTACGATAGAGGTTGCTGACAGAAAAGGTTCGAGAATGCTTATAAAGAGGTCCCCAAATTTATACAAAATTCTCAGAAATGATAAAAATAGTATAAAGTCAGAGGAGAAAGTAGGAGTTTATAGAATTCCTTATGAGAATATACAAATGGGTATTAAGAAAGACTATATTGGAGTAACCACCAGGAGTTTGGGACTTAGACTCAAGGAACATAGTTATAATATCAGAAAGAAGTCTAATGCAACAATTTTGTCCCAAATGGCGCAAACACAAGGCTCTGTAGTCAAATGGAATGAGGCAGTCATCATCAAACCTTTATCTTCCCCTTCTTTGGCGATGACCGCTGAAAAGATTCAGATTTATAGGAGTAAACTAGGGGAAGGCTGTTTGAATGCGAGGGATGCCGAAAGTCTTCCCTCTGCATGGAAGTTTATGGTTAAAAAATTTACTAACAAGTAAGAACTCTAACCAGTTAAAATAGTAATTTTATTAGAGGTGCTAGTAATTTTATTTCTTAATACAGTACTTCTATGTACATATTTTTATTTTTATGTTAATTTTGTTTATGTTTAATGTTACTCCGTTGCTTATTTAATTTTTAATTTGAATTTTGTATTCTATTAATGGAATCTTTAATTCCAATTTCGTTCTCAACCTGATGATGGCCTGTAAATCTGGCTGAAAACGTTTGTTTTTTGAAATAAATATATTTCTTGGCAAGGATAAGGTGTTATTTTATCTTTTTTTTAAGGCTTCGGGCAGACCACATTATATCGAATCAGCGTTAAGCGAGGCAGCGTTAAGCGGGGTCTTAGTGTATTAGAGATCGAAGATACATTAAAGACGTTTAATTTATAAATTTCATTAATTTAATCGCGAATAGTTAACTATTCGCGATTAAATTATAAATTAAACGTTTTCACGTAAACTAGAACGTAAAAAACTACAAAAACGAAATTATTTAAACACTTAATTGGACTGCAATTTGAAGAAAAAAAAAAATTGTAGACCTTTAAATTACCACTGTCGTCCGTCTGTCTTTCTTTAATCGAGAGAACGGAGCTAGATAGATTAAAGACGAACCAAATATGGAAATGTTAGAGGCAAGAGGCCCCGATTAACTATGTAAAAACTTTCGATGCAAACTGGAAGTCGTGTTGTTTTAATTCCAAAATGTTCCCCTGAAAGACGTTAGATAGATGACAGGCACGATTCTATTGTTAAAGGAAAAGTATAGTGTACAGGGACAAGCCATTACTAATTTGAGATAGAGAGCATATATTTTAAGTTCAATAAATTAAAAATGTAATTAAAAATTGCAGCCCAGCATTGTAACAATGTCATTATTTGTTTATTTATGAATGATATTGTAAATTTAGCAAATTTTTAATGTAACAAATAAACAAATTGTAAGAAAAGTTAGCAATTTTTCTTATGATTTGCTGATTTATTACGATTTGTGAATTTTCAACAATATTCACAAATAAGCAAATTGTAAGAAAAAATTGCTAATTTTTCTTACAATTATACATTATAATTTAATTTATGATAATTATACATTATCATAAATAGATTATAGTACAAATTAGGATATTAATTTTTAAATCTACTTATAAGCATGACTAGAATAAAGTACTGTATAAAGGGACGTTCATATAAATTCATAAAAATATATACCATGGATATGATATAAAGACGAAATGCCAACAGGAGATTCTCTAGGTCTTGCTGGCACTACTTTTATTTGTTTAACCTCGAGTGAGGCTAATATTTAAGTATTAATTATATACAAGATTAAATTAATACAGGGTGACGCAGAAAAAAGTAGCCCCGATGCGTAGTTTAGTGGAAACACAAAAGAATACAGTAATAAAGACAGATGTCAACTGCTAGTATCACCAACATAGAAGTTGATAGTAGTAGTCATTTGTTGCATCTACACACAGTTGCGCACGTCGAATTCTGTATAGGAACACCCGGCGTAACATGTGACATCTGTAGCGACGAATGCTTATCCCTCAGTTCCTGTACTGTGTGTTAATCTACACAATACTGAACGCCATTTCAAACAACACAACGTTCCACTCAACTGATGCGGTTCGCTCACTCCAAATACTCGAGCTGGACCGGGGCTACTTTTTCGCACGAAAAAGTAGCCCCAGTAACTAACATTAAGTTAGTTATAATCTTATCTAGACCTATATAAAAGAGTGCCATTAAGCAGATAGAGAAGACCCTGCAGATATTTTCCCTATCTGAGGAGTCTCCAAAGCGGTCGGTAAGGGATTTTCGGGGCCAATTGATGTAAACAGTTCATTAAAAATTATTAGTCTAGTGAGTTATGTATAGTACATGATAGTTCAGGACGTTGTAAATTTGCACGCTGTAAGTAGATCTTTTCTGTGAAAACGGTTTATGGATTAATACTGGCTAATCAGATTTATTTATTTATATACTGTATTATTAACTGTATTAACAAAAACAAAAAAAGAAAAAGGAGGTCGATAAAAGAAGACTTAAAAAATTTTGGGGACCCCTGCCCTATCTGAATATAAAGTAACTTTATTTAATGTTATATGTTTAATTTATAAATTAAAGATAAGTTTTAAAAAATATTTTGACTTACAAATATTATTAAACAATCAATTTTTCTTTAAAATATTATGATACTTTTTAAAATATTTTTTTTTATTTTTTTAAGTACGGAGATGTCTAATACAAATTAAAATTTCATTGAAATTTCAAAATTAATTTAGTTTCAGTAATACAGAGCGGTCCGAAAGTCGGTTAACCATGATAAAGACTAAATTGTTGTATTATACATATACATATATATATTAGGTATTTAATTATATGTGCATTTAAAATGTTTTCACCAATCCTGTACAAGAAAAACACGTTGTTATGAATTCATTTGACTGGAACCGAGGAAACAAACATTTTTAACTGACTTTTGGGCCATTCTGCATATATAAAAATTTAATTAATGATATTATGCCTTAAAAAGAAATTATAAAACATTATTCAAGTATTTTAACCTTTTAATTTTAAAATATTTATGAGATAGAATATATAAACTTAATAAAAATTAATAAATAAAAAAAGTATAAATATTTATAAACATTTAACTGTTCTAATTCGATTCTGATATAAAAATTCTCATACAGAGAACAGGATGGCCTCTCTCGCATCCTAAATTTGGCCTCCTCTTAATGTTCTATCTGAGAAGAAGGATTGGTTTCATAGATATTGGACTTGATTATTTAATAAATTATATAGTTTTTACAATAATATATTCACTAACACTCTTCATCTCTATTAAAAATAAATATTCATGAATTAATAAATGGCGGGTGTGATTCAAAAGTGCATCCAATCCCTTAAACATAGAATATTTTAAAAATTGTTACTACGTCATACAGCGTCATTATACGTCATTACTGTGTAGAATCAATTGGTTATAAAAAGGGAAGAGTGTAGTCGCCAGTACATTCAGTTACAAAATGACACAAACGAGGATATACGCGACGTTTGGTGTTTTATTATTGATCACAATTGTTATATCAAAAGAAACTAATGGAAGGACATCACATGTTGGAAGATCCAATATGCCAAATATTTATGATATTTTATCACTTATCTACAGACTTTGTTGTAAGTTAATAATCGTTTTATTTATTTATTTTAAATTATTTTGCTTTATAATACATATAAATCATTTTTATAGCCGTTAACGAGGGTGTTACTTATTCCAATTTGGAGTGTCTAGATCAACATATGAAAACAGAAGTAAGTTTTTATGTTTATTTTATGCAAATTTCTAAAAGTTTCTCGTGTCCTAAATAGCGATTTTAACATAAAAATAAGTTTTCTTTTCTTATAAGTCGAGAAAAAGTCACTTGAATACGATAAAAATTGCATCCAAGTAACTTTTTCTCCAGACTGTTCTTTTGCCAGAAGGCAAGAATGAAGAATGTCGAACATACACTTCATAATTAAAATGAGGCACATAGCTTAAGGCATACTTTTCTTACAATTATACATTATAATTTAATTTATGATAATTATACATTATCATAAATAGATTATAGTACAAATTAGGATATTAATTTTTAAATCTACTTATAAGCATGACTAGAATAAAGTACTGTATAAAGGGACGTTCATATAAATTCATAAAAATATATACCATGGATATGATATAAAGACGAAATGCCAACAGGAGATTCTCTAGGTCTTGCTGGCACTACTTTTATTTGTTTAACCTCGAGTGAGGCTAATATTTAAGTATTAATTATATACAAGATTAAATTAATACAGGGTGACGCAGAAAAAAGTAGCCCCGATGCGTAGTTTAGTGGAAACACAAAAGAATACAGTAATAAAGACAGATGTCAACTGCTAGTATCACCAACATAGAAGTTGATAGTAGTAGTCATTTGTTGCATCTACACACAGTTGCGCACGTCGAATTCTGTATAGGAACACCCGGCGTAACATGTGACATCTGTAGCGACGAATGCTTATCCCTCAGTTCCTGTACTGTGTGTTAATCTACACAATACTGAACGCCATTTCAAACAACACAACGTTCCACTCAACTGATGCGGTTCGCTCACTCCAAATACTCGAGCTGGACCGGGGCTACTTTTTCGCACGAAAAAGTAGCCCCAGTAACTAACATTAAGTTAGTTATAATCTTATCTAGACCTATATAAAAGAGTGCCATTAAGCAGATAGAGAAGACCCTGCAGATATTTTCCCTATCTGAGGAGTCTCCAAAGCGGTCGGTAAGGGATTTTCGGGGCCAATTGATGTAAACAGTTCATTAAAAATTATTAGTCTAGTGAGTTATGTATAGTACATGATAGTTCAGGACGTTGTAAATTTGCACGCTGTAAGTAGATCTTTTCTGTGAAAACGGTTTATGGATTAATACTGGCTAATCAGATTTATTTATTTATATACTGTATTATTAACTGTATTAACAAAAACAAAAAAAGAAAAAGGAGGTCGATAAAAGAAGACTTAAAAAATTTTGGGGACCCCTGCCCTATCTGAATATAAAGTAACTTTATTTAATGTTATATGTTTAATTTATAAATTAAAGATAAGTTTTAAAAAATATTTTGACTTACAAATATTATTAAACAATCAATTTTTCTTTAAAATATTATGATACTTTTTAAAATATTTTTTTTTATTTTTTTAAGTACGGAGATGTCTAATACAAATTAAAATTTCATTGAAATTTCAAAATTAATTTAGTTTCAGTAATACAGAGCGGTCCGAAAGTCGGTTAACCATGATAAAGACTAAATTGTTGTATTATACATATACATATATATATTAGGTATTTAATTATATGTGCATTTAAAATGTTTTCACCAATCCTGTACAAGAAAAACACGTTGTTATGAATTCATTTGACTGGAACCGAGGAAACAAACATTTTTAACTGACTTTTGGGCCATTCTGCATATATAAAAATTTAATTAATGATATTATGCCTTAAAAAGAAATTATAAAACATTATTCAAGTATTTTAACCTTTTAATTTTAAAATATTTATGAGATAGAATATATAAACTTAATAAAAATTAATAAATAAAAAAAGTATAAATATTTATAAACATTTAACTGTTCTAATTCGATTCTGATATAAAAATTCTCATACAGAGAACAGGATGGCCTCTCTCGCATCCTAAATTTGGCCTCCTCTTAATGTTCTATCTGAGAAGAAGGATTGGTTTCATAGATATTGGACTTGATTATTTAATAAATTATATAGTTTTTACAATAATATATTCACTAACACTCTTCATCTCTATTAAAAATAAATATTCATGAATTAATAAATGGCGGGTGTGATTCAAAAGTGCATCCAATCCCTTAAACATAGAATATTTTAAAAATTGTTACTACGTCATACAGCGTCATTATACGTCATTACTGTGTAGAATCAATTGGTTATAAAAAGGGAAGAGTGTAGTCGCCAGTACATTCAGTTACAAAATGACACAAACGAGGATATACGCGACGTTTGGTGTTTTATTATTGATCACAATTGTTATATCAAAAGAAACTAATGGAAGGACATCACATGTTGGAAGATCCAATATGCCAAATATTTATGATATTTTATCACTTATCTACAGACTTTGTTGTAAGTTAATAATCGTTTTATTTATTTATTTTAAATTATTTTGCTTTATAATACATATAAATCATTTTTATAGCCGTTAACGAGGGTGTTACTTATTCCAATTTGGAGTGTCTAGATCAACATATGAAAACAGAAGTAAGTTTTTATGTTTATTTTATGCAAATTTCTAAAAGTTTCTCGTGTCCTAAATAGCGATTTTAACATAAAAATAAGTTTTCTTTTCTTATAAGTCGAGAAAAAGTCACTTGAATACGATAAAAATTGCATCCAAGTAACTTTTTCTCCAGACTGTTCTTTTGCCAGAAGGCAAGAATGAAGAATGTCGAACATACACTTCATAATTAAAATGAGGCACATAGCTTAAGGCATACTTTCACTTTCTCTTTTTCTTTCCTTTTTTTTTTAGTTAAATGTATTTTTAAAAATAAATAAACCCGAAATAAGTTTGAGAAATGATTTCAACTGACGTATTTTGACATTTTAACTCGTTAAGTGCTATTGTTTAGAGTTAATAAGGATGCAATTCTTTTTAATTAAAAGGAAGCTTCAACTTAATAAAGGATGAATAATAATAATAACAATATATATATTTTAAAAAAGATTTAAAATAATAATAAAAATCATTTAATTAATGTGTTAATTTATTGAAAACAATAATAAACAGTCTGGGTGGACCAAAAGTCAGTTAACTTAAAGATAATAAATTGCTAGTTCAGTTAACCGACTTTTGGGCCACACTAAATATATTGTAAGAAATATAGCGAATATATTTCTTATCTTTAGAATAACATATTATATAAATTAACTTCAGTATGGGATAGTCATTGTATTGAATATTTATTATATAAAATATAGGCCAATATATTATTGTATAAGCCTGCTGAATTTACTTATTCTGTAGCTAAGAAATATAGTTTATGTTATATGGCATTTGAATATAATTCGTATCTATAGTTCAAGTTATTCTTATGTAATTAACTGTATAATTACTTTTGTGTGTGCATTATACAGTAAAGTATATTAAAATGAAATTCAGTGTACAATGTGTATTATAAGTAGGCCTATAGTGAATTTACTAATGTGATATCTTTAACAATAAAATCATTTTAGTGTATCTATTATATACTAATGGATATATTACATATCATTATTAATTTAAAATATTATACCACGTATTATATGGGCAGTACGGTAAAATGGACTCTTGATTTAGTTCAGTTACAATATTATACTATACGATTGACGCTGTAAACGGTTAGAAATTTGAATTTTTAAAATGGATTACATAATGGAAATACGTAACAAAGAAACATAAGACTGACGTTCTGCAGTGCAATCAGAAAGGGGGTCATGTTTTTAACGTTCTCGATTCTTCTGTTATATAAGTTATATTATGACTAATATAAACTAACTGGTTTTGATGACATCCTTTTTTTGTTTATATAGTTTTCAGGAAGATTAATTATATATAAAAAAAATTAAATTTTTGATTTACAAAATCTAATTAGTTGGATATTTATTGTTAAATCTACCATATGACACTTAAGTTATTTTTTGTTCCTTTGAATAAATGATATTCAATTTTAACAAATGAGTGTTATTATTTTTAGTGTATATACTTAATTATTCTTATCTAAAATTTATCATATGTATTATCTATCTTTTCTTAAATTAGGACATGTATACTTATAAATACTCATTCGCTCTTTACCCGAAAAATCACATTACAAAATGAATTGCAAGCAAGTAGAAAGTTAAGTATTTGTAAATATTGTACAGAATATGAAGGGCCTCCTTACAAAAGAGCCCATTCGTATTTAGAGAGTATTCTGGAAGAGACAAAAGAATTAAATACCTTTCTGTAAATAGTTTTCTTAGCTGCTTGCGTCTTTTTCGATCTATCTACAATTTACTTCTAACGTCTTAAAAATAATACTGTATTTGGATACACCTCTGAAAGCGCCCTTTCATATATCATTTTTTTTACTATTTTTTAAAGAAAAGAAAACATTATAACATTTCCCTCTCCATTTATACGTTTTCAGTTTTTGAACTTGGTAGGGAAAAATTCAAGATTACCTAAGTAACTACAATCTTACATTCTTTCCTAAGGATTTTCTAGAAGAATTTTGCATTTTCATAAAGAATTTTTGTATTTTTCTCTGTATTTTAAAGCAATTTTGGTATATCTTTCTGATTGTAGTGCCAAATTACTATACTTTCATTTATAAACATTAATGGTTTGTTTATCTTGCAATAAGGTTTGTCTATGTTAATCAAGTACTTCAATGGCAATAACTACGCATTGGAATTGTATCAACTCGGTGATTGAAGAAAATATGCATTGTTTTCTTCGTATTTTCTTATAAATTTATGTATTAACTTGTTTAATTATAAAGTGACACAATTCTATGAATTATATTATTTTATAATTCAAATGATAATTTACGTTTCCTTTGTTTGTCCTTATCTTATTTTATAAAATTATTTACTAAATTTATTTTTATTTACTGAATGATTTACTTATAATTATCCTAGATTTATTTTTATTAACTTGTTCGAATTTTTCACAAAAAACTTTATTATATTTCAATACGCAATAATGGAGTTTATTTGTTCAATTATTTATAAATATCAAAATATTTTAGTATATTTTAACCTATAAAATTTTATTCATAAATATTATATTTTATCTTGCAATAAATTTTATTTATAATTATTGTATGTCAGTTTCCTGTATCATCTAGAATTAGTAAAATGTACAGTGCAATGTTTTCTAGATCATTTCTCGAGTTTTATGCTTCATCATCAAATAATAGAATTGAAAATTGTCAATTGGAATTATTTAATAACGACACAGTCTATGACAACAAAACTAGAGTTTTATTAAAAGTAAAAATAACGTGTCACTCGTGTGTTAAGAAACGAGCAAACTTTTTATAAATATTGTCCATTTCCTTGTATTGTTTTTAGTTAATTCTGTAAGTGTGTGGCACTATGTATAATACACTATATGCTTATATGCTTAATATACAAATAACAAAGAAAAATGCATATATATTAAAATATTCATTTTATTTAAGAATTTTTCATTCCTGTGAGCAATAGAGGGCCTTTAACCAATTATCCTCATTGTAGTTCAGAATCATAATTAGGGAAATCGGTTGGTGAGAGACGGGGTTCGACATATTCGAGACAATGAAAAATGCCCATGAAAAATTCTTGGGTTTTTCGACCGCCCAGACTCCATTCCGGGTTTCCAAAGCAGTATACTTATCCTTTAATAACCTGGAACACCCGGCTGTCTGTTTAATATATTTTGTAACCATTTGCTAAATTATTGTTGCTTATCATCTTGTTTAAATTAGAGCCATAATTTATTACAGGGGAGACCATCGTGTCCAAGTAATTCAATAGTCTCTCCTGTAATAAGACATGGCTATATTTTAACGTCTCGATATACGAGAGACTAGAAAACATATTACGAAATATTCCATTCGATGACTAGATGGCTGAAGCTTCTTGTTCTGGCTGATAGCTTGAAGGAATTTTTTATTGCGTCTGTTCCTGGTATGTTGGCCTTCACATTGCCGCCTCCATTATGGGGCCCAGCCAAATCCATGATGATTCAAAGGCGATGTTTTAATATACAAAGAACTAAAGATTGAAAGGCTACCGCTTTCAATCTTTCTTCAAGTTAACCTCTTAGTTCAAGGTAACCTTTCAATTTTTAGTTCTTTTCGCAGTAGGAAAAGAACTAAAAATCATTAATCATTCCATTGATTTCTTGCCTGTTAAGAAAAATTATGTTTTGTCAAATTTTATTATTTAAAATTGTATTCTTTAAATTCATTAATTAGTTTTTTAAATCCATTTTATGTTTTTCCTCCACGTATTTGGACCATAAAAATGTAAATAATTCGGACAACCAAAAGGTCCTGTTCACAGCCATTATTTATCATATTTCTTAAACTGTATTGAAAGTATCTGATTATGTTTATTATAAATTTCCGAGAATTTTCTTATAAGCAAAACAATTATCCTATCTTGTAAGATAGAATAATTGTTTTGCTTATAAGAAAATTCTCGGAAATTTAGAGTAATAATGTAATAATAGAATGGTAACACTGATAAAATTGATACTTTTACTACAGTAAATTACAGAAATGCAATGAAAATATGATAAAATACAAAGTATATTTGGTATGTTTGGACAATATAAGTTTGGAACGTTTTATAATTCGGATTACAATATAAAATTAATGGGCTTACTAATTCAGAATTAGATTAATTTTCTAAAAAATGGTGTATTCTTCTTTAATTTTTGAAGTGTTACTAGTATCAAAATAAGACTTGAGAAAGCAAAATGAAGTTCCAGTCACAAATATCAATCTTGAACGCGGAACATCCATCTTCGAAAGCCATGAAAACCATGAAAAAAAATTAATAAAATATGTGTCAAATAAAATAACAATTATCAAAAGAAAATTTAACGTATACAACTTTCGTGTTAATGTTTATATAAAACAAACTCAAGTTTGAAATCTTTTTTTGCAGTTGAGACCGAAATAAGTAGCTCTATGTCTTCCTCTATCTGAGCAAGTGCCAAATTCTCTGACGTGATAACAATAAATTGATGATTTATGCCAGAAAAAAATTTTAAAACATTTTTAGTTTGGCAGTTAATGAGTTTTTATTCTCATTAATTAATGTAGATACATCCTTATCATTAATACAGTATTCCATAATAGTAAAAAGATGGATGAAAGATTGTTGCAATATACTATAATATATTGTATGGAGGAAGAAATGCATAAGAGAAGTTACGATACAATATTTGAACATAAGTAAAATATTTTTTGATAATTTTTCATCACATATTTTACTTTTCTGCTATTTTATATCTGTAACAACACATCGTCTTCCTTCCCTCAATTAGTGATAATGATTTAATGTGTTTGACATTGAACTGTCAAATTAATTTATTATATTATCGGCTATTAGATAAATAAATGATTCTATAACTGGGTTTTGTAATAATGAAATAAAGTTACGAATATTCAATAATAAATTATTAACTTTTATTTATATATTAATCATATATGCAAATTAAACTTGATTGTTAATCCTTTTAA